GTCCGTCAGTTCTCACTCTAGAATTTTTTGAAGTGTAAATTAAGGAATTGGCTCACACACATTGCAGGGGCTGGCAGCCTGAAATCCAGGAAATCCAGTTGATGTTGCAGAGTCCAAAATCCACAGGGTTGCAGCAGGCTGTCTTGAGGCTGGATGGCTAGTGAATTCCTGTTTGTCAAGATTGAAACAGGTTCCTAGAATGCCTTCCTCAAAGAGTGTTGATAAAATCTTTAGTGGAAGTCCAATGTATAACATGAAAGTGGAGATGCTCTAGTTCAGGAGTCAGCAAGTTTTTTTTGTAAATGGCCAAGTAATAAATACTTTTGGCTTTTCAGGCTATACAGTGTCTGTTGCAGCTACTCACTCAGTTCTGCTGTTAGAGTGGGCAAACATCTATAGACAGTATGTAAACAATGATATGGCCATGTTCTAATAAAACTTTATTTATAAAACAGGGTTTGGCCTGCAGGTCATAGTTTACTAATCCCTGCTTTAGTTGAAATGCCCAAAGAGAGCCAGGAGCCTCACCCACTTTTTGTCCTTTTTCCTATCCTACTTTCAGTCCCTTAGTCCTGCTTCTTCAGTCCTTGAGAAATATTTTGTTGGAACCTGGGCACGATAAGAGATGTGCTTTAAGATCAGATTAATTTGATATCTCTGTATTCTCTGTAGTACAGGATGGGTTGGAGCAGGGAAGACATAAAGCTATTCTGAATGTTTGTAAGGTTATTAGCCCTTTTGATAAACTTACGTATTTCCTTCCACAGAGAAACACACACATGCACAACTTTGCAAGTTATTTCAGGGGTTGACAGATGCTTTGCATCCCAACTGTGAACCCCAGGGTGAGAACTCTGTGCTTCCCAGGCTCTGCCAGATGCCTGCCATCTACTCTTTTCTTCCTGCCTGACATTCCCAGGTGGAACAGATCTCGTTAGCTCTCCTTTCTGGTTTCTGAGTATGCTTGGTTTATCCAGGGACTTCAAATGAAGACCACAGACACCTCTTTCTTCCATGTAAATAACAGGATGTATGTTACTAGTTTTAAATAAAAGTAATGACACATCCCCATATAATTCAGTCTACATAGCCCCAATCCACCAATTTCTCTCCGTCCCACCCTGCCTCCCTGGTTCAAGCCGTCACCATCTCTTTCTAGACAGCCAGAGTAGTCAGATTGTCTCCCTGCTTTGACCCTTCTTCCCTACAGTCTCTTTTCTGCCCTGCAGCCAGAACGATCTTTTTGAAATATGCATCCGATAATCACTGTGGACAACCTCTAATGGCTTGCCGTCACACTTAGACTAGAACCCGACTCTTCAGCTTACAAAGTGCTTCCTGCATAGGCCCTGCCATGCTGTAGCCTTGCTGGCCTCTCTGTGCTCCTCTAATACTCTAGCTTCTTTTGGCCTCCTGGCCTCTGCCCCTGTCAGAGCCATGCTCTGTGGTTGGATTGCTTTTCCCTCAGATCTCTGCCAGGCTAGGTCCTTGTCCTTTAGATCCCAGCCCAAATGTTTCTCGCTTGGAGGCCTTCCCTGCACACCCATCTTAAGTAGCTGTCCAGTTTTCTCTTTGTATTACTCTGTTTTAATTCTCTGAATAACCCTTACTGCTGTCTATTTTTTCTTCTTTATTTGTTTGCTAGTTTTCTGTCTGTGTCCCTTCACTAGAGTACAAGCTCTTTGGGACTAAGAACTTTGTCTGTCTACCCCAGCCTGAGAACAGTGCCTGAGCCAAACATTTGGGGAAGGAGTGAATTCCCATATGTCCCTCAAGTTCGTCGTCCTGGCTAAGGGGTAGCTGTTGAGACCTCCTGGGCCATCTCTTTTTCCTTTTGGTTTTTTCCCTGTCATGTGCTTATCTATAGCAGGCCCTGGTCTAATACTCTGGCCTTCCAACCCATCTGGGATTTCCATCCATCTTAGTTTTTACTCTCTTAACTTCTCTTAACTGATCTTATCCTGGTTTGTATTCCATCCCACAGTCTGCCCCCACATGATGTAGGTCCAGCCAAGTCTGTTTTTCCTGTCACAGCAGAGGACACTCCTGATGGCCCGTGAGCTCAGCTCATAGCTGCATCTTGCTTTGCTCCTAAATTTTTTTTTTTTTTTTTCAAATAGCCTAGCATTCAAAAATTAGAAACCTAGCATTTCTCCAACAACCCAGATTTCCAACTTCCTTTTTATAATTGGAATATCTGATAACGCTGTCCCCTCATGGTGACCAACTGGAGGTGGGCGGTGGCTGTCCATGTTAGGTAGGTGTACATTCTCCACCCAGCCCAATTCACCGGCTCTTGTGACATGCCAGTTGGCTGGAGCTGTGTGGCCGTCCTTTCTGGGGCGCAGTCTGTCCCCCAGCCTGGCACACACTTGTGTATGTTCCCTGCAGCTAGATCTCTTGCTTCGGAGCATCCCCTCAGAGCTTCAGAGTATACGTTTGCATCCAAAATTATTTCTCTAAATTTTACAAACTGTTTGGAACTCAACACTATTCCCACCACACCCGGGGGCCTTCCATAAAGTCCTGATCTCATTTTGAGGCAGGAATGTTTTCCACAAGCTGCAATACTAACAAACATACCATATTAGTATGTGATATTGCCACTGCTTGTCGAGGAGCAGAATGCTGATGAAGTAGGATACCTGACAGATAGGTTTCAATTATGAAAAGACAGAATAAGGGGACTGAACGGTGGGGTAGGGCAGAGTCCCCAAGCACAAAGAATACCAGGAGGACACTAAGCTCTGATAGTGGGGAGAGAGGTGCTGACTGCCTGTTTTATCTGAGGTTAGCCTGGGGCATGGAGCTTTTAGCCAAAATATTTGTACATATTTTAAAATGATCTGAGTAAAAATCTGTGGGAAGAATTTAATGTGGGTCATTGAATGAGTAAAATGATGTAGGTGGAATAAAAGTCAAGAAATTCTCAGCAAACTAAATTTAAGTAGAGCTGTTCCACCTGTACTATTTTTTGGCAAAATGTCTGACCATACCCAGTGGCATTTATAATAGTTGCCTGTCTCTGCAGCCCTCTCTTTTCTTTGGTTATATTATTTGAGATGAAGAACAAGAAAAGTGGAAATCGTTATTGTAAAGTACAGAGGGCTTTACTAGATAAGTGCAGAAAAAGGTATTCCTGACCTTGCATCAGGGGACAGAGCTAAAGATAGGGGTAGCCAGTGGAGGGGAATCATGTGCAGTGAACAAAAGATAACCATTGTTTCTCTAACATTATTTCATAGGGCACAGCCTTTAAATTTATTCCAGCACATGAAAAACTATTATTTGGAAGCAAATTAAATAATGCCACATATTGAGGGAAATAATAAACTATTCTAACAGGTGCTACTTAAGCTGTATCTCTAAGTATAAAGATTTAAGTATGGGTTTTTATAAAATTGATATGTTTTTAAATTATTGGAAAATTTAATTCTGTAACTTTGTTCCAAAGCCAATATAAGCCAACATAAGAATTCATCATCAGAAAAAAATAAACTTAATTTTAAAAGGAAAAATTGAATGCATGAGATTGTAATGATGAAAAATTTATATTAATTTTCGAAGTTAAATTGTTCAAAAAAATTTTATTATACTCATGTAGTATCTGTTGATATAAAATCCATCTAACAGGCAGAATTAGTAGCAGTAAATATAATAGTGTTCCAGTATGACTGTATTTATAACTGAATTACTCATGTTCTTTACATTCTTTAAGCAGAGTTCAGATGATGAAGACTATTCTGCAAAAGGAAGAAATCGTCACATTGTCGTCAATAAAGCAGAACTTTCTAACTCTATTGAGGTGTTAGAAAGCTTTAAACTGGCCAGGGAGAGCTGGGAGTTGCTCTATTCCCTAGAATTCCTTGATAAAGGTAAAAAATGTGCTGCTTGTATTGGTGCTGCTTAATTTTTAATATCCTTATGCTACTTGAAATGTCAAGTGGCTTATGGCTAATTAAAGTGATTACAGTAGTTCACACATTTTATAGGATGCTTTTCTGAGCAAGATACCTAATCAGTTATTAATATTCAAATAACTGTTCACTTCTTAGTTGCTAGTCTGAGGGTATATTATAATCAGGGTGGGGGTGGAGATTCAGGGAGAATTTTTGGTCTTTTCAAGATTCGTATTGCTGGCCTTTTGTTTCTTTCTTGCCTTGTTTTGTGCTTGCCGTTGTTCTATTCTTCCTTTTTTTTTTTTTTTTTTGTCTTTTTTTCGTGTCCGGCAACGGATCACAACCCTCAGTGTCGCGCCCGTACCGGACCGGGACCGGCAACGGGATCGCAACCCTCGGTGCTGCGCCCGCACCTCGCTCAGCCAGTGAGCGGGAACCGGTCTGTATGTGGGATCCGAACCCTCGGCGGGAGTGCCGCCGCGCTCCCAAGCGGCGCACTGTAGCAGTGCGCCACCGGGCCGGCCCCTAGTTGTTCTATTCTTTTGCTTTGTATCTTGAGCTGCATGTGATTAATAATACAAAAGGCATTGCTGTTTTTATCTGCATTAACTCCGTTGCCTGAAAAAACTCAAAATCCGAAAGATATAGAAAGCCTGTTTTCTTTTGGGTATGGGCATAAAACTAGAGGGGCTTTATCTGCATAATATTTAAACTATTAAGTATTTCAGCATTGCTTAGAAATCACTAGCTCTTTGCTAAACAACATATTTTTACTACACTTTGGAATCAAGGCCCATGACTTTCCTTTTAGCCAGTGGACATTCATCCTCTGGCCTCCTGTCCCATGCCAATACAGAGCCCGCGGTCAGATGTATCATGTCATATTTTCTAAGTAAATATAGCATCGTTCAGTTTCTCTTTGTCGCATGTAGAATTATAAACACATATGTGACTGTTTTGGAGGGGATTTTTCCTGTAGTTATAAATTGACTTTTTAAAAAAAAAAAAAGAATAAAACCTCTTCGTATTATTGTATGTTTATTATTTTAAGTGGGTAAAAATAAAATGGGTCTTTTTCTGAGGAAGGTAAAGTTGTTTAAATGATAAATGAAGTATTACATGAGTTTAAACAGTTCTTGGCACGTGGTATGTGCTTAGTCAGTGTTGGTGTCTACTAAAAATATTGCTTGTGTAACACTGATAAGAGTTATGTTCTAACTTTACTATCTAATTGAAATTCTAGAACACTGTTTTAGAACTCAGAGTCTAAAGTTATACATTTTGGGGGGGAATTTGTCTTTGTGGTTTTCTCTTGCTGGGTTTGTTCATTTTGTTTTCTGCTTCTCTGTTATCTATTTTTGGTCAATTTGCTTTTGAATTCTTAGAATTTACAAGAATTTGCTTGGCATGGAAGACGGATACTTGGCTTTGGTTAAGAATCTTCCTCACTGATATGATCATCTATCAGGTAGAGTAATATATATCTCAAGCACCTGTGTCTGTACAGGGTAATTATTGCTTCAAAGCAGCTTTAATGGGCAGGACGTGTTAGGTTCCCTCTCTGGGCAAGTCCGTCGCTTGCTCACAAATGCTGTCTTCAGTGGCTGAGGGATTATTGTCCACTTCCATCTGAAAATTACTCCAAAATGACAAGGCCATAGCTTGTGTGTTACTGGCTGTGTCCAGTCATACTCCTCTGTAAAGGTGAGGTTTTTACTCTTCAATAGAATATGAGTACTTCTCCTGCCTCTGCTGGAGTCCTGTCTTGCTGTACTGTTTTCCAGCTACTTAAGCCTAGAATGGAGAGAGTAGATCATTCACTACTGAGATGATGTTGAAATAGATGGGCTGCTGCTTCCATATTTCATAAAGGAGAAGTGGTATTAGTAATAAAATATTTCTTTTTTTTTTTTTCCCTTTTTGTCTTTTTTCATGACCGGTAATGGGATCGCAACCCTCGGTGTCGCGCCCGCACTGTGCTCAACCGCTGACCCCACCGGTCTCTATATGGGATCCGAACCCTTGGCGGGAGCGCCGCCGCACTCCCAAGCGCCGCACTCTACTGAGTGCGCCACCGGGCTGGCCTGGTAGTAAAATATTTCTAAAGAAATGGTATATCCAAAATGTACTTTATCAAAGGGCTTGTTTTATTTAGTCTTAAGACTTAATACCACAAAGAAAGATCTTTGTATTTAACAAAATACCTCCATAAGGGACTTCCATCCAGCTTTCAGTCAGTAAATTTGATTCTGTTGCTAAGCCTCCTTTTTCCTCCTCAGACGATCAAGCAAAGATATCTTATTTGTAGTTGCTTGCTAGTTGCTTATTTAACTCTGGAGGTTTTTTTTTTTTTCAAATGGCAATGTTTTTTTTCTCTCCTTGTTATTCTGTCTTTGTAAGGGTCAATATAAAAAGGCAATAGTCAGCCTGCATCATTTAGCAGCTCTCCAGGGGTCACTTTCTCAGCCACAGATCACGGGACAGGGGACCTTGGAGCATCAGAGGGCACTCATCCAGCTGGCGACTTGTCACTTTGCTCTAGGGGAGTACAGAGTAAGTACTGTGCACCTTGCATGGAGCCCTCAGATGCACTAGACCACCCTGGGCTTTCTCTTTTTCCTAGAGTGGCTTTTCAATACAGTGCATGTCTGTTTGAGTTTGATCTTCCTGCCTAAATTTATTACCTAATCTGCTGGTGAAAGTCATGATGATTTTATTTTACTTAATTTTCTCTTCATTATAGCTTCCCTGAAATTCAGCTTCTGTACTTTTTACATTTTCTGTTCATTGTTCCATTTTGTTGGAGGGTGATCTTTTTTTTTCTTTCTGGCTTGCCTGGAATTTCTTTAAAGTGTAATCAGTTCTGTCGTGCTTGGGAAGAAGAGGTCATTACTAAGTGGGAAATGAAGGAGTTACATTTAGCTTATTCAGACCTCAAGTTCCTTCTTTCAATGATGACACCGGATAGGGGTGCTGCCGGTGCAGATTTATCAGTGGGTCTGTTTCCCTAATGAGACCATGAGCCCCTCCCACTGTAGGGTGAGCACCGTGTTTTTAACTCTGAATCTCTCACAGCACCTGCTACAGTGGTTTGCATGGCGTGGATACACAATAAATGTTTGAATTTAATGAAAATGTTAAGCATGTTTTTGATATATGTAGGTACTATAGTAAGTTCAAGACCATGCCTTAACACACAATCTCTGATTGATTCTCATCTCTCTGGATGTTGTTAATTACTTTGTGATCAAAAATCCTAATTTTTTTTTTTTTTGGCGGCTGACCAGTATGGGAATCCGAACCTTTGATCTTGGTATTAACAGCATGCTCTAACCAACTGAGCTGACAAGCTAGCCGTAAAAACTCTAAGTTTGGTTTAAAATTTGAACTCTGAAATATGATTTATAATTTGCCATGATGATTTTTAGAAAGAAACAATTGGAGAATACATAGAGTATGTGAATTGAAAATTGAAAATGCTTTTCCACCTTCATTGATGTAATTATCAGGTGCCTAATTCTAAGTTTCAATTAATTCCTTCTGAGAACTTAAAAGAGCTCATGTTTACTTATACACATCATCCATGTCTCGTGAAGCATTACATAGACAGGGCACTGCTGTTCTGCACTGTAGCAGGGAATATAAGATAAACTTGTAGCTTTAATTACACTGGGAAACTCATTCTTTTTGAGGGCTTCACTTCCTGTATCTGAGTTGGTCACTATTAGGCCTACATTGCAGTGTCTAACTTACCTATTTCCCGAATCTCTGTCTGTCTTCAGCCCAGACTCAGTATGTCCCCATGTGAGTTTCTTTAGTTCTCTGGCTGTCTTAGTCTGTTCAGACTGCTATAGCAGGATATCACACTGGCTGGCTTATAAAAAACAGAAATTTATTTCTCACTGTTCTAGAGACTAGGAAGCCCAACATCAAGGCTCCAGTAGATCTGGTGTCTTATGAGGGCCCATTATGGTTTCACAGAAGGTGCCTTCTCACTGTGTTCTCACATGATGGAAGGGAAAAGGGAGCTCCCTGGGGCCCGTTTTATAAGGACACTAATCCCATTTGTGAGGGCTCCATCCTCATGACCTAATCCCCTTCCAAAGGTCCCAATACCTGATACTCTTATGTTGGGGTTATGTTTCAACCTATGAATTTTGCAGGGGGGCACATACATTCAGACTATAGCACTGGCCCTTAGACACAACACTTGCAACTCATGGTTGACTCTTACTCTAACTAATCCTTTTGATTCTAACAGTATGATATTAACCTCTTTAGTATATTGCCTTTTATTTTCATTGTTACTGCCCTAATCCATGCTTTTTAACTGAGTTTTTTTGCCTATAGCCTTTCTTCCAACCCTATACAATTATGGTCATTGCTTTCTAAACATTGCTCTCATCATTCCACTTAGTTGAAGTAGTGACTTTCTAAGTGCTTAGTGCTGAACCAGGCTTTGAGGTGGGGAGTGCACGCCAGGTGTGGGGAATATGTGATCTCTGCATTCAGGGGTGTATAATTTGAGTTGGAGAGAAAAGTACAAGAGTTGATGGAAAACAGTTAAAAATCAAGTATTAATTGGTATGCTTCAGATATCTACATGACAGGCATTTGGGGAAAGGTGTCTTCGCTAGGGTCCACATAGTCAAGGAAAGATTTACAGAAAAGATTGGCTGGAGGCGGGCATTGAAGGATGGCCGCACATGGCTCTGGAGTACAAGTTCTGGCCCCAGCACTTACTAGCTCTGTGACATTGGGCAAGTTGCTTCACTAAGACTGTCCAGCACCAGAGCTAAGTTCTTAACTGCCAAGCTTCCAGTCTAAGCTGGAGCTTTACAACCCTGTGGCTGTGGATGGGTTCTAGATGTGCCAAGATGTGGATCCCTCCATCCTTGGGGCAGTTAGCTGTGAGCCAGGGAAGCCAGAGCTGCCCAGGATCAGTTGCTGCCAGCTCCAAGCAGCCATACAAATATTATTTTCTGGGCATGAAAAAGATTGGGAAGCATGAGCTTAAAGCTTTTCTTCCTCATCTGTGGAATGGAGATAATGAAAGGGTTGTGCCTGGCACATAGGAAATGCTCACTGTGTGGGCTCTGATTATTGTTGTTAGAATTTGAATAGACAGAAGATAAGCAGATGCCAGACTTTGCATCAAAAGCAGCCTGCTCAGTGTGGCATTCAGGCTTCTCTTGTCCTCCGGCACTGCGACTGTCCAGCTTCTCATCTGTAGTTCCTCTACCACCTCAAGAAAAACACCTAAACCGATACGCAGCCTTTTCTCACATCTTTATCTCCTGCATTAAGAGCCCTTTTTCCCTCTTTTCTACATTCTTCCTTCTTTTAAGACTTAGGTCCAGATAACCTTCCTGTCTGATGCTTTTCCTGCGAGTTTAGCCTGTTTTTATTTCTACTGCATTTTAAATTATGCTCTTTGTCATACCATTCAGTCCTTTGCATTATGTCTATATCTTAATTTTTCTATTCATTGAGTTAATAAATGCAGGGACATCCTCTTTTGGATGCTACTATGTTGCTAGACACCTTGGTAGTTTAGTTAATACTCGATTAAATTTTAAGTTTTTTTTCCCCTTAATGGTCTGGCACATAGATTTAATCCTACTGTTGTGTTTTCTTTATTTACTGTTGCACAAACAGTAATGATTACGTAAATATGGTATAGTCTTAGGACAGAGCTACCGACCTCCACGTACATGTGTTACCTGATTGTATGCTGCACATATCTTGGTGTTATGTTTGTTTGATTACAGAGCAGAAAGCTTCAGATTATTTCCTTTTGATCTTACCTTCTCTAGATGACATGTGAGAAAGTCCTTGACTTGATGTGCTACATGGTACTACCCATTCAAGATGGAGGCAAATCGCAGGATGAACCCTCAAAAATAAAGCCCAAATTTAGAAAAGGTACAGTGACAAGTTTTGTTATTTTATAAAAATAGCTTTAGGTCCTAAGGCTAAGAAATGTTCAATTCCAACTGCAATAATACTGTTGTGATCTGCAGAGCTTGACAAACTGTATAAAAAGTTCATCTTTTTCCAAGTTTTTCCTTGGCTCTGATTTCATAAGTAGCTGTAAATCTTTCTTCCAAGGTTGTCTTCACTCCCTGAGTTTGTTACCTCTCTGAAGAATATCAGTGAACTCTTTTTCCTATCTATACCAATTCTAGGAAAACTTATAGATGATTAATTAGGAAGTATCTCACAGCATATCTTGAACCATTTTGAGCTTCACCTCAAGTACTACATGACTTGAAAAACTAAATCTAGGGCTGGCCCGGTGGCGCACTGGATAAGTGCGCCGCTTGGGAAGCGCGGCGGCGCTCCCGCCCGAGGGTTCGGATCCCACATACAGACCG